TAGCCGGCAGTGCGCCGTGGTCAACAAAACCATTCGGGGCAATTTGCCGCGGGGGAAGATCGTTCCTCCCCCCATGACCGACTTCTTGATCGCACAAGAGCATGTTACTTCACCAGGATTGTCGTTGCGTGAACTCACTCCTCAATGTTCTTCCCTGCTGGTACTGGGTGGCTGCGGTGTGTTTCCCATACAAGCCTATATAACCTTTACATATCATATAGCCGTATCTAACCCTTTATGACCCTTTATAACCCTTTATAACCCTATATAGCCCTATATAACTTTATTATACAACCCTATATAACCTTATATGACCCTATATAACCTTATATAACCCTATAGAACTTTATAACCCTATATAACCCCAATGCAACGGTTCATGCAATCCCCACAGCCTAGCCTCCACCTGGTGCCAGGCGTTGCCTGCGTCAGATATTCCGACCCAAGCTGGGCTCTGAATCTACGCGGGTTAAATAGGGCTGCATCGGGGGTATTTCGGGTTATGTAGGGGTTATATAGGGTTAGATAAGGTTTTTACCAGTACGGCTTGGGAATTAAGGGTTCCAGGGCTTCAGTAGAGTTTCTGGTTTACGGTTCAGGTTTTAGGGTTTTATTGTTCTCTTTGGCTTCGGGTTTAGGATTGTGGGGTTGTGAAGGTTCCGAAAACATTGTAATAAACATAATTCTCTTCAGATTCAAGGCTTGGTAAGTATTTGGATTCTGGATATCGTTGAGGGCTGAGTTGGGGAAAGATGTTAAAAAAGGCTGCCTTGTAAAATCCTTTACTCGGGGCCTCAACCTGGCGGGGCCAGGGATGACAGGTTAGAGAGTCTCTCCCAACAATGGTAAATATTCAAAGTGCAGGGGTCTGCTGGACTATCCCTTTTCTCCGAACAATTTCGGCTAAGATTTTGAGGTTTCTAAACTGTCATCAGATTCAAAAGCTGGTAGATATTTGGATTGTGGATATCTTTGAGGGCTGAGCTTGGAAAGGGGTTCATAAAAGGCTGTTTTTAAATTGCTTTACTTGGGGCCTCAAATTTTGCAGCTTCCCTTTTTGAGGGCACCAAACCAAAAAACATGGCTTGAAATTGAATAAGCGGCGGCCAAACCACATTATTCAAAGTCTCTTCACTAAAGTCAGTGCAACCTTACGGAAATGACCACATGCCGTGGTGATGAGACTTTCTGTTATCGAATTGTTTCCGACATGCTCTCAGGTTCAGATGCGTCGGCGCCCGCGACGTAAATACGAGGAGGACATGTGCTGCCATGTAACATGAGGGCATCAAGAATTTGGAATACGGCTTCGGGTACTGTCATGACATACAGGGGTGTTGGGAAAGCTCTTTTCCCCTCTTGGGGTCCTAAGTTCTTGATAAACATAAGCTGTACTCAAAAACAGGGAGCTTTTTCGTCCCGTAACCTTAGCATAAGGATGGTTAGGGTTAGGGGATGCCCTTGGTAATTCCGGCTTCTACAGGAGCAGTGCCCTAGGAGTGCAAGTTACGTGTCCCGTAGAGGAACAGCTCCGTGCCAAAGCAAACCGACAGCAAGCAGGCGCCATCTCGGTCGGAGCGTGCCTTGTATTGTGCTTGCAATACTCGGATGCCTCAAACATGTGGCCTCAATGTTTGCATGCAGGGCTGGATTTCTTTCGAAATGGGTCAAAGAAGAACCACACGACCTCCTCTCCTTACGGAGGTCCCATCGCCCATGTAGACTTTCACAATGCTGCGCCAAGAGGATGCACGGAGCATGTAAGACTTTAAGGAAGGGCATCATCTTTAACTTCAGAACATGCGGAATACCATGTGTTATCAGAACATTGCTCATGGCATGTCAAGAATTACCTTCCTGCGCAATCCGCAGGCTTAATCCCCAGCAATCACAACACTCACGCACACTCAGTCTTCAAGTCTCCAGTGAGCCTGCAGGCAGACGTGCTGCTCAAGCGTCGGACGAGGTCTTGGCATGGATGTGATCTGTTCAAGATACCCGCGTAGAGTGTTGCAGAAGGATCATGCAGTTTACTTCAAGTCTCCTGCGCCAATCAGATTTGGGGACGATTTTAGTATTCTTTTGGTCTCAGTTGTCCAAGATTTGGGCCTGCAAAAAGACACACCGCTCGAGTGTAGAATTTCCGCAGCCAGCGCAGTTCAAGGAGAGTCAGGATGATTGATAAAAGGGTCTTCAAGTCCTTGTACTCTTAACGTATGGAGACTTCTTTTTTCAGAAAGATTTGCTCAAATTCTCGAGATGAACCCCGTCAATCCCTGTGTGATCCCATGTCCCCAAAACCACTATGTTGAGAACCCACCCCCCCATATTAACATCATGATCATGGAGATTCCTTTGGTCAGATATGGTGCAGTGGTCATGATTGTTTCTCCATCCTTCCTGCTGCCAGGATTCTGCAAGCTCAGCAGGAGACTGGCCATGGAAAGGCTGGGAGCCATGCACCAATATATACCCTATAATCCCTATATAACCCCAATGGTTTCCATTTTCTTTTGCATTATCCCAATATTACCCTAATATATAACCCCAATACACTGGGTATTCTCCCCTAAATTTACATGGAAGTCTATATGACTTGCTTTCACAGGAGCTGTGGTCTTCATGGGGCCCTTTTTGGGGGTAGCTTGGGAGACGGTATCTGTGCTTTCTCAGCATCATTTTGGTGAATGCATATGATATGAGGGTTTTCCTTTCGGCGGGTCCTTTGGATTGCTTTCTGGACCTCTGATTTTCAGGATGTGTGTTTGCAACAGAAAGGGGCTTCCCCTTGTAACCCTTATCATAGGCACCACCAAGAAGGGAGCCGTAATTTTGAAGACCCCAATATATGCATAACGCCCATGTAAAACATCTCCTGAGCAGACGGCTGCGGCTATCAAGTAACAGCAAATAACAGAGCGAAGCCACTGTAGGAGTGTCTCAAAAGCCCCCTATTTAGATCTGCATAGTATAGCTTTTGGCAGAGCCCTAAACCCTAAACCGCAACAAAATTATTTGTGCCACCTTTCAGAGAGACATTCCTAGGGAGCCGGGTGCTGGGAGGCCTTCTTAGCTTCCTGCTACTGTACATAGCCATCCGCTGCTTCAGCCAAGCCGCGGCCTGAAACTGGGAGTGCTGTCAGGTTTAGGGCTTAGGGCGTGGGTGGTATACCCCCCCTATATACTCCCTATCTAACCCAATTTTTTGGGAGTTTAGAGTATAGTATTCTTTGTTAAGATGGATCTTCTATGTTTCTCAGGCTGCTCTTCTGTCTTCTGCAGCTCTTTCATCCTGCTGGGCTGTTGTGAGGTTGCCTCAGGATGATTGAAGTGCTCAATTGAGGAGGGCTGATATAGGGGGTGGATGAAGGGCCTTTCAGTCTTGGTGTTGAGGGTGTAGGGCTGTGTTTTTGCTATGATTTATGGTCCGCATTACATTTTATTTGGCAGTAGGCGCCTAAGGAGGAGGGTCAAAAAGCGTGAGCCAGTGCAGCGTGGTGCTGTTGCTGAATCCTGAGCCCCGCAGTCCAGACTATGTCAGTATTTGCCCACTGCGCTGCCCTTGAGGTACTGTCAAGACTTTTCGTCACCCAGTGATGTCCCGGAAGACACGGGACACAGCTGGCGGAAGTTTAGCATACTCAGCTTTGCAGCAGCCATCAAAAAAAAGGTGCATGCTCCCTTCTTGTGATCATTATGGTTTAAGTTGGGCAACGATATTGAGCTTGTTTCAACAAGGAATCATCAGGACCGATTTGGATAAGGCCTTTAACTCCAAGCTAATGTCCTAGGCTTGGGCCAGCACAACTCTTGCTGCTGTCATACTTGCTGTTATCGATATTGCCAGCCTTCTAATGACGGGGCTTGCTGGGGAGTGGCTCCTTCCACGAATCAACGAGCCCTTTCAAATCGGCTGCTTGCCTAGACCTTTTGGCCTTGAAGTCGGAGAAATCCCTTTGTTGCTGGGGTGCTGTGAGTCTCATCCGTTCCAACGTCACAACACCAGAGTTCTTGCCCCTTCACATATTTCAAGGGAATCGTGCCCCTAGCAGCAAGACTCATGCACGTCATGTTGCCCATGTGCCGCAACAGTGTGTACTGATACCGCACACATGCCAGGTCTACCCGTGGGAACAACTGTTGCTTGCCTTAACACCTTCGGTGTAGGACGCCACTACGTGCCCGTGATTACCTTTCAACCAAGTGGTTGGGGGCTGAAGTGTATTTAGCAAAGCTAGAGCACTTGCTGGTGGTGGTACATTGTGCATCCGAATCACAATTATCACTATGGTTCTGTTTCTCATGCTTATGTTGCTTTTACTACTGTTACCACCCTTATCACAGGTAGTACAGTTCTTTTTATTAGTACTGTTGTTACAATTATCACTAAGAAAATATTGCTGTGATTACTTTATTTTTGGATTCTACGCGTGCCAGCCGGGCAACTGAACGTTGTGGCCAAAAGCTTTCTCGCAAGCATTGGGCATCAAGCCAGCTTGCACATCCACATTGACTGGATGCTCCCCGAACCATGGTAATAATATTACAAGTAGTGATAAGATGTGATAAGTAAACATAGTAAGTAGTAACAGACGTCATATAAACATTAGAAAAGATAGTAGTGATATTAGTAATCGCAGTAATAATCATAATTATTATAGTATTAGTATGCAAACTCCACAGAACTATGTAATAGCACAGCAAATACAGGGCTTCAAGGAAGTAAGTCCCAAGGCGTAACAACTCCCAGGACTGAGCCCGAATTTTCATGCGTCAAAACCCCAGGGGTCCTGGTTTCGGGTTTAAGGTCCTAGGGTTTCTTACCTACATCCCCTAAAGCTTAAGCCTTAAGCGTTGCAAGCCCTGAAGCCACTAGGTCTGCAAGCCCTACAACCTTCAACCCCAAACTACTTACCACCACCCCTCACCCCCACCCCTACTATTACTATTAAGAATATTGTTACTATTACTGCTATTATTACTATGATTCACCCATAGAGCTTGGCTGTGCCCAGCAACCTATGGTTCCAGACTCGGAAGCGAACAGATCCAGGAAATGCTGCTGCTTTGAAATGAGACAACGGGCTTTTGGGGTCATATGGGCTATAGTCTAAACTCCTTCAAGGAGGGGTTATACGCGATTATATAGGGGTTATTAAGGGGATACTAGGACTTTAGACTATAGCGCATATGGGGGCCTGACTATTTGAGACGGTCTAGTTGGAAGAGCGGAGAATTAAACGGGATTTGAAGTCGGAAAATTGGAATGTGCCTCAAGAACTTGTGTAGGGCTTTGGGGCATATTACGCTATAGTTACATGCGGCTTAGTTGTTCAGCCTTGTGTGTTAAGCCTTGAGGGTTATGTGTCAGTGGAGTTGCGAGTTTAGGCTTCGGGAGGGGGGGGGGGGTTGCAGGCCTTGAAGTTTTTGGTATGCAGATGGCAAGCAGTGAGGGGCAAGGCGGTATCCAGATTTTCTGGGGTTGCACATTCTTGGGGTATGTGTCTGGGCTGCTACCACCAAAAGGGACACCCAGGAGGCATCCCCAGACTCGCTCTAACGCCAAACTCCGAATCCCAAACTCTACTCTACAGGAGCTACAGTCTAAACTCATTAAAGGGGGGTTTATGTAGGGGAGTATAGAGGGGGCTGCTATAGGGGATATTAAGGCGGATGCTAGGAGTTAAGACTCTACCCTACATGCTCAACCCTATGTGCTACAGCACAAGATTATTTTCAGGAGACTGGCGAGCTGCGAGGATGATGTGGTGGCGCTCCCAGGCGGACATGGAGGGAGGGTAACCCAGCTGGGAGCAGGGTGGATGGAGAATCTTCTTGAAGGATAATGATAGATCAGGGCAAGACATATGTGTACACATCACTGGGGGTTCACCTCAGAACCCTACCACCTGCGTTCGCAGAACGTTGCCGGGTGTTCGCGGAACTTTGGTGGGGTTTGCGGAACCTTTGTGGGGTTCGTAGAACCCTTCTGGGGGTTAGTAGAACCCGTTCGCAGAACCCTGTTTGGGGTTCGGTGAACCCTCTGGGGTTCGGCTGCCTTCGGCTAACTTTTTGCGGGTTCGACAAACTTCCGCTTATCTTAGGAGGCGTACTCACAGACAGGTGTACACATACAATTCTCCACCAATAGAGGGTGTATAAGGTAGACTAGAGAAGTGGAGAATCAAATGGACAAGACAGTGGAAAGTGAAATCGAAGCTGGGATTTTGGGGACAGGGTTCAGGATTTATGGGGCGGCCCGCCTGCAGAATGATAGTCCATGATACTTGAAGTACACCAGTTTTCTGAGTATCTCGGGGTCTAGGTTCTGCATCTTACTTGCTAGAATTTGGGGTCTACATATTTACTTCTGCGGCGTTCTGTTTGCATGGGTTTCAGCCTGTAAGACTTTGAATGTGTTGCATGAGGCCCCCTAAAGACAAGCATACTCAAAGGCAACACCTGGAGTGTGAGGGTACTGATGATCTCTCATGCTGAACTTCGTGACAAACCTCTTTATGCCTCCGTAGGCTACGGTGCCTTTTGAGTTTGCCAGTGTAAGGTCTTGAACAGAAGGATTTCTAACAGAACTCCTGGTAAGCCCTGAGCTCTAAATCTGCAATCTTCAGCCCAAAGCCCTAAAGACAGTAAAGCTGTCTTGGACATGAAGCCCTAAACCCTTAACCCTAATCTCTGAGTACAGCACATTGGACAGGTGAGCTTGAGCCTGCGCCATGTGAGACCGACACTCTCGCCTCACTCCCGCAGGTTCCCCCAACTTCTAAGCAGGTAATATCCTATGAGCTATAGTCCAAACTCCTTAAAAGGGGGTTATGCTTGTGATTATGTAAAGGGTGGCATTAAGGGGTTACTAAAGGGTATAGTAAGAGTTTAGACTCTTTGTAGATTTCGGGTTTGGGCTTAAGAGTTGGGGGAGATCACTGGCAGTGTCCGGATTCTGTAGGGTTTGGTGCTTGGCTTCTTGGGTCTACAAGCTCTCCCCAATCCCTAAACCGAACTCCCTAATCGCTACACCCTAAACCCTATATAACCCCATTGTGGTAGTTTCCATTTTATTTTCCATTATCCCAATATAACCCCAATATACTTGTATGTGTACGTAGGGCTCAGGGTCTGAGAATTTTTATCACTCTTTGCACTTTTGGCGTTCGGCTGACATTGAGATGCAAGTGCTCTTCTTGAGGGTCCACGTGGTAGTTTCTATAAATGAAAGCCCCCCCAATACAGACCCCCAAATCTTATATTCCTCCCCAATGGTACATGCCCCGATTTTGCGAAACTCCTATGTTTGGGCAGCAGTAATGCAGAAGCCTGATCCGATGTATTTAAAAGCTTCTTATCGTCTTTCAGGCTTTTACGGTAGTCAAATGTGGATACCCAAACTTAGTCAACACTGAACTGCCGCAAGCATGACTTGGCTGAGAAGGAAGACGCTGCTACAAGCAGCTCTTTCAGGCGCAAAAGGGTAACTTCCCACACGGGGTTTTTGAAAACTAGGGGTGCTTTTTGGGGGACCCTCAAAATCAGGAATTATAGATGAACCGCCACATCATGGAAACTGCCAAACTGGGGCCCCAAGATTTTAGATGCTGCGCTACTCATACCGCAAGACAGCCCGTGATTTTTGTGTTCTTCAAGACTCAGATTTCTGGAGTTGAGGGTTTAGGGCTTAGGGTTTAGGGTTTTAGGCTTCAGTGTTTCCAGGTCCTGAGTTTTGCTAAAGCGATTGGCTGAAAGGCTCAGGCATGGGCGTTGGACATAAGGCGTTGGAACGTCAATGTGGTTGGAATGCCTTTCTTCATGCCCATCTGCGGAGGACCATTTCACAAATCACCATGCCTAGCACTGATGAACACAATGGGCCTTCAAAGTTATGAGACATGCGAAGACTGATCAGAAGGATCTTGGAACAGCTTAACAGCAATTCCAAAGATTTTTGCACAATTGCTACCCGCAACTCTGAACTCGGCCTGTTTTAAGACACTGTTGTAGGGTAACCTTAAACCCCAATCCCTATAGGATTAGTGCAACATGTTGGAAAGCCTCAGCGCTGATATCTTCACAGGTCACCCTGATGCTCAACCCCTCAAAACATTGAGATCTTGCGCTCTGAAGCAGACAGCCCCAAATCCAAATCCTCAGCCCTTAGCTCAAGACTCTACTGCCTCCGAGCCTTTAAATGCTTCTTAACTCGTACCCCCCCCAACCTAAAGCTTCTCAAAGCCTCAGCATCGCGACCCCTTCAATCTTTACTCGTACCCGCTAATAAGCTCTTTGAGGCCTCGTGCGGCCACGGACGGCCCGGCGCCGCGTCGCATTCGGGATGTGCGTGCCCGGCGCTCCGTGGCGGTGACGCCATTTGAGGCAGTCTTGCTTTTGCTGTTTGGGTTCTTGGGTGTCTGAGTTGCAAGTGTCTAGGGAGGAGCTCCTGAGCACCTCCAACCCTTTGCCTGTGGTTTTCCGGATTTTGGACTCCTGGGCCTCCTGGGTCTCCCTGCAAGGCCCTCTCCTGCACATGCGAATCCCTTCAAAACAGCAACTGCGGAATCAGACCCCAAACCCCAGCCCACAGACTTTGAACCCCGAACCTGAATTCCGAATCCTAAGATAGTGGTTTCCATTTTATTTTCCGTTATCCCTATATAGCCCCAATACATAACCCTATTCTAATATACTAGTTTCCATTTTATTTTCCATTCTTATCATGCATGGGAGGTCCCACTGCAGCGCGGTTATGCCCCTGCCGCTCCCAGGACTGGAGTATTTGAAGTCGCATTGCCTCACGGCCCCAAGGGGTCATGTTGGACACTTATAGGGGAAAGTTATTGGAGGGATTCTCAAGATCATGTGTGTTTGTGGCTCCGGCAGGTCTATGGGAATCGTTAGACGCCGAGCTTCAATGCATTCGCTTCTACGAGAGTGGAGAGGGGCCATAGAGATTCAAGATCTGGTGGCTATGAGACCGCGAAGATGTGTCCGATTGTTGTGATCTACCTTCATGTTGTGATTTCGTTCACATGTTGTGGTCAGAGGGTAGGTTTGTAGGCTAGAGGTCTGTTTATCCCTCAGGGTTTCAATTCACATCGTCTACAGGGGACTGCTCTAGATCAAGCCTCACCCTCAAGATGTAAGCCCTAAGCCTTAAGCCCTCACAGCAATAAGCATAGGAGCCAACAATCTCCAGCGCATGCCAGGATCAACCCCTCTGCTGTGACGCCCGGAGCTGAGTTCTGTTCTCCAGTTGGGCTTATACATTGGTTTAGCACGTAAGTTTTCCTGGAAACTTACACTGCAGAAGGAACCTGCAGAGATGGATGTCCACAAATCCCCAAGATTCCCCAAGCAAATTTAGAACCTGAAAGGGACACTGTTAAGACTGGCAACTTTTTTAAGAGCAGGCTCCGTGGGATTCCATGTCTCTCCATCGTAGTTAATGGAGCAAGCCGGTAGGGAACAAAGCGCAGCAATTCCAAAAACAATAATTGACAATACTGTATGGGCAGTTCTGCGCATTTTTGATGGCGACCTCCTTTGAATTTGACGGATGCCAACACCCCGGACTCCATGAGGTATCTCAAGACAAGGAGAGGGCTCACGTAGGGGTTGGTGAGCCCTACCTAGGCTTATGAGGCTCTGTCTCTGTTAACTTTGGGGCAGCCGAAAAAACAAAAATGTGCCGTTAAAATGCATTGGAATTGTGTTCCCAGGTGGATCTGGAGTGCGAAAAAAGTGTGTTGAACAAGAAAAGTGTGTTTTAAACACGAAGCAAGTGTGTTCAAATTGTGAAGCAGTCAGTGTGTGTGTGTGTTTTTATTGTTGTTATTTCATGTTTGTGTTTTTCTGCTTCCAGTGTATTTCCAGGTGGCCGGCAATTGGAACAAACGGACAACAAACACAAAAACAGCGCAAATGCTTCGGGAAAGTTCCTTTTCTTGTGGTTTTTGTGTTTTGTCCGCTTCCACTGAAACCAATCAACATGCAATAATAATACATCTTAAACTCAATGAAGACACATTTTAGACACAACTAATTCAAACACATCTTAAGCTCATTCAAAACACATTCCAAGATCCCCACAACACACTTTCAACACGTTTCCAACACATTTCCAACACATTCATTGCCCGCAGCAGTAAACCCCACAAACGCATTCCCCAGACACTGCGAAACACATTTTAAACTCAACAAATTCTCATATCAGGGTTTCTGAGCATTTCCAGAAGTAGCAGGCCACGGAACATCATAAACCTAGGGAATGACTTGCTCTAGGATGGACTGCGAGTACAGTCTGCGGCGAACAAAGGCGTGTGGATGCTGCTTCGGGGCCATTGGGTGCATGCAGCCTTCGTGCGATTCTCAGCTTCCTTTCGAGCATGGTGGTGTGCACAGAGGTTTTGGACCGCTCAGGGCAATCCGTTACGGCAAGGCCAATGGCGGGCGTACTTGAAAGAAAAGTTCCAACAGGCTGGCTTTCGCTTTGCGGGGTGGTAGCTATCCTGGCGGAGGACGGCGTCCACTTTGACTTCGATCACGTTGGTGATGAAGCAAGGCGGCAACGAGTGGAGCATGCTTGCGAGAAGCATGGCGGCGCCAAGGCCACCATCGCTTCTTGAGGGCAGACAGGCGTGAGGCTGTTGAAACCAGGGACGAGGGAGTCGAGTACAGCCAAGTTGTTATTCATGCGGCTCGCAGGCTGCTTGACAAAGCCACTCTGGAGCAACAAGAAGTCATGCTCGGGGCTGCGTATTCCTTTGCAGCGTATGAAGAGGCCTTTGCCAACAAAGGCCGGCGCCAGGCGGTTCAGCAGTGCACTTGCCTTCTTTGCGGCGCAGAAGAAGTTCCAGGATGGTATCACCTGGCTTGGAGCTGTGGGCGATTCCAGGAAGAGCGTGGAGACATGGCCATGCCGGCGCCTTTCGTGACTTCGGATGGCCGCAGCACAACGAGGCGAAGCAGATCTCTTGCTTCAAGAGGGACATCGCACTCACGAGGAGCAGGCCGGCTTGTCAAGTCCATGAGGCCTGAGATCCCGGGTACTAAATACCCAGTAGTAGTAGTAGTAGTAGTAGCAGCAGCAGTCGCAGTCCTGATACGACAGTGGTGCTGCTGCCATCAATGCTGCAAGTGGATCGTAGCAGGGCTGGGCACTTTCGTGCTGCCAGCAGTGTGAGCAGCAGCGTGAGAGGTAACAGTAGCATTTGCAAGTAGAGCATGGGAGGCCGAAAGCCTTAGCTACAGCAACGGCAACTGTAGCGGCAATAGGCATATTGTTCATGGCTGAAACCTTGCGTGACTTTTTGCCTTTGGGAATTTTGCAAGCGCAGTACGCTAAAGGTCTTCATCAGCTCCGTCAACGGGAAGCAGACTTTCTGGAGTATCGTGGCCTGCCCCAGTCAGCACGGGCAAGCATCCACAAGAGGCTTGCAAATCCAATTGCATCGGCGGGGAGCGAAGTGTCTGGAGACCATCGCAGCTTGCCTCCCTCCGCCTGGGCAAGCATGCAGGGAGCGAGGTGTCTGGAGACCATCGCAGCTTGCCTCCCTCCACCTGGGCAAGCATCCACATGAAGTTTGCAAATCCCGGTGTCTGGAGACCATCGCAGCTTGCCTCCCTCCGCCTCGGCAAGCATCCACATGAGTTTGCAAACCAACTCCGCCGATGACGAGGAATCTTAGTGTTATGAGATTTGATATGCCACAGGTGCCTACAACACCAGAGGGCTCAGCCAGAGCCATCTCCAGATGTTCGGAGCAACTTGCAGCAGCACTGCAATGTGCACTCAACATGGAAGAAACTACCATCATTGTTGCTAGGTATGGCACGAAGATGCTGAGCACTTTTTTGAGGTTCTCCTATCCTGCGAGCAGAAGATGGCTGAAGAAGTGGGTGAGCAAAGGGCCCACTCAGCATGGGATTCGAAGAAGATAGACTATGGCACACAAGCCTCTGGCAATGGCAGAATAAAGGATATTCATCATTTTAGAGTAGATCTTGAAGATCTTTGTTCCGTGCATTTCTTTCGGAAATAAGATCTAGGATATCACTGCTTCATGCATTTCTTTTTGGGGTAGGACTTTGGAGGCCATTGTTCCTTGCGCTTCTTTTGGTGGGCAGGATATCCAGATTAATTATTCCTCTGGGTTTGTTGTGGTGTCTGACTTTAGTAAAGCTGACGAACTCGAGGAAACCGTGAAAATGATTGAATAAATAAATGATACACAAAATCCAGACGGATGAAAAATGATAGAAAACTATATCCAACATGATAAGATGATATTTTTGAGCTGGAATGACTTCCAAGTCCTGGAAAAGTGCGAAGACTCACTCTCCCAAGCCCCGTCTCCTGACACCACCCGCCCCATCCCCCTTCTGTTGCCCATTCATTTCCCCATCAGTCCCGCCCCGCCCCGCACCCCCCGGCTGCACCCTCGTTTTTGCCGCAGGACACAGCCTCGCGCGAGCGGTGCGCGCAGTTGATGCTTAAATTTTAAAAAAATGCTGGGAGAAATCATGCTTCATTTCCTAAATGATAAAATTTTGATGGAAGAAATGACGTTTAAAGTCCCAGCTGATAAAACAATGATGGAAGTGATGACTTGAAGAATGTACTTTAGAATGATAAATGACCTGTACCTTGATTTCCAATCTTTGGCACGCAGCACATCTCATAATCTTAGTGGTGGCCACAGAAGCCTACTTGCTTCAGCTTGGCTGAATTTTTGCCGGAAGTTTGCGGTTGCCGATCGCCGTCGTTTTCTGACGCTCCAAGGTGGTGGATTGGGTTTTGTCATGCTGTCAGGAATTTGTGTGTTGTGCCCGCTTGTGGTTGAAGTTTCGAGGCAGAAATCACATTGAAATTGGCAAGCAAAAATGCATGTGTGGTGGGATATAATGATGGGCCGGGAGTCGGGAAATCTGCAAGGACAGGGTTTCATATAATATCCAGTAGGGACCCCAAGAAACACGCTTGCAGTCCGGCGGAAAGCGCTGATTCTCGGATCTCGAATTGATTCGGTGCAGCTCTGCACCCAAATCCTGTAGAAAACTTCAGGCCGTTGTCTGTTTACACGTTTGCTATGTCCGAGATCAATACAGCCTATCAAGATTTGATGCTTTCTACGGCTTATCACTCGGGCTTTCTGTGATTGTCTGAGGCTTCCTGTTTGAGTAGTCATGCATGTCTGAGGTAACTAATGGGTAATTAAAGGTCATCGTTATACTGGCTGACTGCAGTGTCAACGGAGGTTACGGATATACGACGTCACGGGAGCAGAGGCCAGCGCCCCGGTGTATCCCCATGTTTTTCGACTGTTCCCTGGGGTCTCTCACAGTGTGTCATACCAGTAACATGATTGATGTTGAGCCAAGGAATTGTCACAAGCACGGGTCACGTGAAAAGATTTGTCGTATTCATTGCTGCGCCTGCGCAGTTATGTATCTCGTAAAGCCTGCCACTTTAAGATACTTCATGCCAGGATCCCAACCCTTTTCCAGACGAACGTGGACACCTGATAGGGCTGCAGTTCTCTATGGGAAGGATATGCGATTGCAGCGGGATTTGATTCGTTGCGGCGCTGGGCTCTGCATCAGGTCAGTCTAGAAAAAGTAAGTATTTGGAATGCAGGGGATCCCAAGACTCAGAAGGCAAATGTTTTAGCAGAAGGACGTTATGATTATTATTGGTTTTTACATGCGTTCAAGGACTTGCCAGATGTCAATCTTTTTGGCTGAGTCCCTCTCCTAAGGGTTGCGCTGCGGCCGTTATTGGAGCTTCCGAAGTACTGAAACCGCATATCATGTCATCTCGGGACGAAGAAATGACCGCAAGCTACCCGTGCACGAAGCTCCAGAGCGTGAATCCACATGCCAACCCACAACCTTACTTCCTACTTCAGAGCCCTAGCTTAAACTCTAAGCCATCCTCTGTTGAAGTAAGCATAAGCCGGCTGAATCATGACGTTTGGACCTGTATCAGGATTTCCCTTCACTTTGTAAACTACCCCGAACCCCCCTCACTACACGAGCTACTGTTTGAGGCAGAGGTTTACCCTTCAGCTGCACCCTGTCTCTTAGCGTCTGCTCCAACTGTCGTTCTACCAGCACTCAATTTGGGCCTTCACCTCGGGGTCAGGTTGTCTGTGGGCTGAATCGCCTCTGCCGAGCAATTGGTACCGGGGCCTTCCACGCAGGGGTTGAGGCGCAATCGGTAAAGGTT